ACACCCCTACCCATCAAGCATTTCCCCCAGAAGTTTGTGAACTTCCTGGCGTGTGAGAGCCTCTCCAAAAGCGGTGGTGTCCATCAGGGGTGCGCACTCCCCCATTCCTATTTAACTTCGTGATCGACGAGATAATGAGACGAAAAACCGGCTGTCCCGGTGCTTGTTCAAGCAGCAAAACTGAGACCCCTTCAGGTCTTCGACCACTGTTGGCTCAGAACAACATCCCATGTAGGTTGTGTCAGCAACCTTCGTGATCGACGAGATAATGAGACGAAAAACCGGCTGTTCCGGTGCTTGTTCAAGCAGCAAAACTGAGACCCCTTCAGGTCTTCGACCACTGTTGGCTCAGAACAACATCCCATGTAGGTTGGTGTCAGCAACGATGAATTTTTGAACTGGGTGTTTTACTGTGCACCATGTACTTCCATCGAAGAATTTACCCAAAACCAGAAGCTGTGTTGGTTAGGCCACGTACTGCATATACCAAACTATTATTCGCCGAAAAAATGCTCTTTTCCGTACCCGATTTAGAATGGCGGAAGCAGAAAGGTGGCCAATCTTCGACCTGGCAGAAGAGTAAGAAGGAGACTAGGAAAAGTATAACTGCTTACAGTGCTGCCCTGCTTGCGGGATAGGAGCCGCCTTATCTCCACCGACCTACGAAAGGTACGGCTGCCAGTGATGCAAATGTTGGTCCTGTTGTCAATTTCAATTCAGAATGCGCAAATGAGTTTCTGAAGATGTGGGTACTTAGGAATGATTGTGGATAACTTGCAACAAGTTCCTCACTTGTCCACTTTTATTCTTTTCTTCACATGAAGGCTTTCAAATAAATCATGGCTGGACTCAGCGAAGCATCAGTTTTGGACACTGCTGTTACGCAGTCGATTTAAATAGCCATTGTAATTCTCTATACAGTCGGTTTATCGCTTGCTGTGAATTACGTTTCCCTGTTCCTGAGTGCTACTTTACTTGGCTCTGTAAATATATTCAAACATTTACGAACCGGATAGTAAATCAAGCAGTGGATACGCCACAGGAAGAATTTGACTTATGCTTGATGGCAGCTTTCTCAGAATGAATGAGCAACATTCATATTCACCCAACTGCGTGAGGTTTTTAAGGCCTCACCGTAATAGCTTAAAGAAGCGACCCGGTTGGAAAGAAAGGAGAAAGACTTCAGCGCTTTAAACGCTCTTCAGAAAAAGTGAATTCTCATCAGGCATAGTTTATCTTCCCGAAAGAAGCTCAACATGATTGTTCCGTTGAACGATGTCGCTTTATAAAGCTTGGCAAGACAACCGATGTAGTTGGTG